AATTGAATATGGTAACGGCGGAGACTCTTCGACGACAATTTGTTGCACGCGTCGCCGCCACCAACGTTGTTTGTTTCGCTTTCGAGTTTTCGACGCAAAACGGGCTAGCGTTCGCAAAATACAGAATGCATTGGTTAAGTAAAAAATAAAAGTTGTAAAAGTAAGCTCACGGCTTGGTTCAAAATTACCGTACGCGAACGGGCGAGCGCGCATCTTCTTCACTTGCTGCTCATCGCCTCCGATTAATAACGTCGTGTTTCGCGCTCGACAAAGAGTGAATAATTTCTAAAGCTAAGGTACATTTACAGCTCTAGAGTTGGCCCTTGGCAGCCGTAGAGTTTATAATATTTTACATGTAAATGATTCAAGTGAAAATCACACGAGTATACGGCGGTTTAATAATATAATATTGTCTTTTACATCATAGTTATTTTATACTATACGTGCGACATTGAATTTGGGCTGAGTTCTAGATGAAAAAAAATGTTTTATAAATAATTAAAATTAAATTTATTTGCGTGGTATGTTTGATTTACGAAAAAACGTATTTACCTACCCCGTAAAGGGTGTGTGATCATATATTATAATAACTGATAGGTAGTTGATCTAATTTTTTAAATTGTAATACAACATTTATTTTGTACTTCGAAATTGACTTTAATTTATTAATTTATACTAGTATACTACTCGTATTCAATGTCAAATGTTATATCGGTGAATATAAATTGAATTTGCTTACTTTAATTAATAAACTAACAAAAAATAATATGATCAGAATTCGCCGTCTATAGTCTATACGCAATCGTTATTTAATTGTGATTTTCCAAGGACTAAAAGCAGTCAATATAAATTATTGTTTGGACAATTTTAAGAGCAATTGCATCTAATTAATCATTTTAATAATTATTATAGCAATGATGTGAATTATAATGATGATTTCCTAGAAGTAATTTTTTATAGAAATAAGTTTTATAATACGAATATGTGTACCTAAACTCAAAATTTAAAAATCAAACTACGATTACTATAAATTATAGTATTAAATATTAAAGATAACATTTTTACACATTTATTATTGTGGGTTATAATTTAAAATTAATAATCACTGTTGTTGTCATTTTATCAATTATCTAAATATTATTTAATAAACACGTAATTATTACACATTGTTTATTGTTACAATGTGTTATTGCGTGCTCTAATTTTTTTCATTTGTTCAGTAAAAATATGGTTTTTGTGTGTTTCATCTGTCATATTTTCTGAAATTTGGCGTTACAAATTAATAGTGCTGCTTACAGTTCAAAGTAATATTTTTTAAAACTCAATTGTCATTGTTTGAATCAGTGTTACCAAACACAAAAAATGTTGTTATTTGTAAAAGTAAAGTACTAGAATAATGTATATTTTTCAAACTTGTTTAAACCAGCGAAAAACATGTAATGGTTATTTAATTACTATAGCCAACATGTAATTTATTCTCATTGAAATTTTTATCAAATAGGTACAGTATTAATATTACTTTGTAGGTATATTAAATTACATATCACGAATATTCTAAACGATATTTTATTAAATATCACTATTTACTTTCGTATTAAATGTAATTATAATTAATTACTTTCATAAAAAAAAAAAAAAGTAAATAAATAAAAAAATATAAACACGAAGTAATTGAACAATTAAAACTATTAATGATATATTTTAATATGGTTTAAAATTAACTTGTATTTGTAGACATTATTTAAAAGTAGTTAATCAAAACAATATCGAAAAAGAGAACGAAAGCACATATTATGTAATCAAAAGATTAAATTTAAGTTGTGTTGTTGTGATGACGCAGAAAAGTGATTATGATAATACTTTTGGAATATATCTAATCTAAAATTTTAAAATCAATTATTACTCAAAGCGTAAATAAAGCTAATCATTTTGTTACTCTCACTTTACAATGATAAAGAATAATTGAAAAATTTATTTCAAAGTTATTGTACACAAAGTGAATTTAAATTATTATATTTGCAGGAGACTAATCGACAATGAGATAATACCATATGGCATACCATTGTGCGTGTATAGAGCGATTGAAAATATACTTTTTTTTTGTTTCGGCTCGTTATTAAGTTTTTACGATATTAGGTACATGAAATTTAGTAATTCTAGAATTAAAGTAAATATTACATGATTTTTGTATTTTAGTCATCATTTTCGTTTTTTAATAAATGTAGAGATAAATTCTATAACCGCACGTGCAGCCCCTTCCAGAATCGGTTATGTGCCAAAGAAGCAGCGGCAGTCGAACACCTGCAGGTTTTTGGGATTATGTTTTATAACACTTAATTTCGCTAAATTAATTTTTCTCCAATTTTGTTGCCCGGTAGGACCGCCACAACTGTTGGCAAAATACACGATTTTTTTGTGATAACACGAGCATTCGTCGGGACTTGAATAATTACTTGTATTTATTATATATATATATTATGATAACTGCCTATTAACATTCATTTAAAGTATGCTTCTTAAAGTAAGTTACCGTTTGCGTGACGAAATCGTCATATTCTAAACGTGGTATCGATTCCCAATCAATATTATACCTATGGGGCATGGTGGTAAATTAATACACAGGGCATTTCCGTGTGTACAAACACATATTAAACGTGTATAGCATGTATCAAATCATATTATTATGTATTATTAACGAAAATCATTCTGCGATGAAGTTACACTGTATATAAATGGTATACAGAGTGGTGCATATTATTATACTATAGCTGCAGCAGCGTGCGATGTCATTGTCAGCGCGCTCGTGCAGTGCGAAGGGGAGTTTCAAAAAAAGTTTCGACGGTATAATATATAAATATAGGTACTCGCTCCTGTAGGGGTGGATTGCTGTGGTGATTCGTGTAAACCTCAATAGTGCGTGTTTCATTGTTTTCTTTTTTCGTGCCCGGCCAGGTCGCATTTTGAATCCCCTCATTGTATATGAACGTCAAAAGCATAAATTTACACATATACGAATGTAAAATAAAAAAATACAAATATAATTATATGGGTTCCGCGCGTATCCCTATCGCTAATAACGTGACGACATAATATTATAACAGTATAGACACTACATAAACGTATTATAATATTATATAAATGTGAACAAAATAATAATATATGTGTGCGGGTGACAACCGTTTGCGCACATATATATTTTAATTGCAAATTGATGGACCGTTATCGCACACAAACAATAATATTTTACACATAGATCATAAAAACACATATATACCTAATATTTTGTAATAATAAGACGATTATATAAATTATTTAATAAATAATGATAAACAAATTACAACATTATATACACGTCATGTGTGCTATTATAGAACATTAATCTTTTAGAAACATTTTTTGTTCATCAGTTACATAACGTTATATACTTAGACTATTTTAAGCCATTCAATATAATAAAATAACAATAATTTATTATGATTGGAATGAAATTAATATAATGTATAAGGTATTAATAATATTCAAATACTAATGTTCTTAATAATAATTATAATTTAAAACCATGGTTATAAACTAAAATTAATTTTTATCAATATTTTTTTTATGTGAAACAAACGGTCTATCAATTCTTGCAGGTATTTCTTTTAAAATGTGCCATGATATTTTAAAAATAAAATATACACAAACGGTGTTTATAATTTGCAGGTAAAAATTTAAATCGTGCGTAAATGGTTTTATGCGGACAGTCGGAAGTTTTTCGCTCGTTAAAAATACTTGAGATGCGAGCTTAAGGCATGTAGTTTATACAGCGAAAATTGCAATGTTGCACATCGTCTCGACTTATATATTATTATATCTTTGAAAACTATACGCGTCTTTTCACTAAAAACTTTCAATTGGCTTTACGAAAAAATAAATTTGCATAGAGAGAGAGAGAGAGAGAGAGAGAAAAAAAACGACGTTTTCGGAACTAAAAAAGTTTGCTCGTTTGTATTTTGACAAAATATGTCGCGCGTAAGTTCTTTCTTTTTTTTTTTCATGTACCTACCCATAAAATATGTTCAATTTATTGCAGAAAAAATCTCACTATATTTATTATATCGACAAAATGATGTGCTAACTACGCAATCCACAAATTATCGTATAAATTAGTTTCAAAACAAAAGATCACACATCAAACACACGTTCAAAATGTCCAAAAATTAAAAAAAAAAATTAAATAAAAAAATAAAACAAAAATTACTCAATGTTTGAAACGTTTGCAGGTTTTATTATTATTATTATTTTTTTTTTTTTAGAATTGCAAACCACTCAAGCCTCACTAAAAACCTCCAAACTCAGAAACTTTTTTTTTTAATATGATTTACTTGAATATATATTGTATATACTGGTTTCTCATTTCGTTTCATCCGCAGAGAACATCAGCTACTCCTAATCAGGTTCCACAAACCCATAACGGAGCCTGTAAATAATAACTTCTGACCAATCGTATTTTTTAAATGGTGTTAAATAAAGCCTATATTATAATAGTGCACCTGCTAGAACAACGCTATTCTTATTCATATATATTTGTATATTTAGGTATCAAGTATAATATTTATCGTTAAACGATTATACAAAAATAAATAAAACTCGACAAAAGCATATAAACACCGTCATTGCATATAAACTTGAATTTGAGCCAAATTCTATTTCTTTAATTAAGTATGATAATAACATTTGATTGGGATCAGGCCAACCCCAGATATATAATTTAGTTAATAAGAAAACTGATAATTTTGAGAAGTATTTATTAATTTTCACTTTTTTTTGTTCTATTACGGGCTACGGCAATGATATACTATTTTTTTAATTTTCGTAAACCAACATTTCTGTTATGTTTTAATCTGAACCTTTATGAATGTTATGTAATATATTATAATTTTCAGATATGTATATTAGTATAAACATAAAATAAATAAATAATTGTGCAAAAGCATATGAAAAAAATGAAATTGACTTACCCAAATTGGCTAGGTATCACAGCAGAGTATCCAGCTCTTATACTCGGAAAAGCAAACGCTGAAAAACACATAAACATACTTGCTATATTATACTTTAATTACTCAAAAATGTTAATCATTACATAAATACTTTACATTGCACCACTAACTTGGTACCAATCTATTTTAAGTTTTCACCAGCGTTTTATATATATATATATATATATATGGTTAATATATGTGTGATAACAAAGAAACTCTAATAAATTATACTTAAAAAAAAAGGAAACCTTATTTATTAAACACATATATTTATTTTGCGTTACGCACATATATAGATTAGTTATACACAAAAGGCTGAGGAACAGAGGAATATAAAAAAAGTTATGCGATAATGAACGACTCGAAGCATATTTTTTATAAACTTTTTAATTGAGACACATAAAAATATAAGAGGAATTACATGAGTTATATTTCATTACAATTAATGATACTAAAATGTTTTTATTTTATTAAATATACTCTAACTAATGGTTAATTATTTATGGGAAATACAATATACTATACAAATCATACACCTTTTAAAATGTATACATGTTATAATGCTCAAACCTTTTAACAACGAAAACAATTAAAGACAAATGTCGAATTTGTTATTAAAGGTAGGTACGGAAAATATTAGTGTAATCATATTAAAATTATAATATTTTAAGTTAAAGCTAAATAAACACTTCCTTAGTTAATTTTGTAATAGGTTTAATGTTTCTGCCTAATTTGAATGTTTTTGCTACAAAATGAGAAATACTAAGAGCGGTTTTGTTATACTTAGTATGTGACAGACAGATTTAACAAATGCTACGCCGACAGCACCCTCTTAATTATCGCTAATGTACCTATACTCGTTATCTTCAGTCCAGTCAGAGGTATTTTAATCTATATTCATTTTAATAGCTTATTAACTTCTAAAAAATTATTTAATATTTTAATAAATTAAAAAAGTACCTATTCATCAGTTAATTTTGAAAATTTATTTTTTATTCAATAATGTTTTAGGTATATTGAAAATCTGAAAATCTCAACATTTTGGTCAGCTTATCATTAAAATCTATACTGAATTGAAATAGGTATACATATTTTAACCATTATCAAAAGTATTAATTCAAAATAGCTAAAAATTATAGAAAATTCAAGGTTAGGTATTAAATGAGTGACAACTTTTCAAGATTAATTGTTAGTATAGGTATCGGTAAATTTTTTGATTCCTAAAATTACGTAATCATTCATAGGTCCACGTTTATTGCTAATAAAGTGTGAAGAATACCTATGTATGCTGCAGAACTAAACTATATATACCTTCTATGAATCATGAATGGCTTCTGCTGTGATTTTACTAAGCTAGGGCTTAAAAATCGTTTCGTTTTATAATGTTGCGAGTATACGCTATATAAAATATTTATAAAACCGTGTCTAAAAAGGAATCATAAATAAATTATGATAGTGAAATATTAACATTTTTATTGTTGTGTCAAGTTATTGGTTCTAACGGCCAGGTACCTCCAAATTATTGACGCAGCGTTGTACAGTGTATCAAATTACAAACATACTCATAATAATTGGTCAGACTATTACAAGTAAAATACTTTAATATCAAACTAATTTCGTCTCAAGTATAATTATAACTATACAATTTTCAATTTAAACAAATAAATTTTTGGTTTGTCAAATATATTAACGAAGTACCAATAGCTTTGATTACAGTGGTTCTGACGGCACAAAAGTTACTGCATTTTAGATATATTATCGAAATAATTAAAGATATTCAAATTTCATTTAATTATTATTCATAACCACGTTAAAGAACTTTAAGGACGTATAAAAGGAGAAAACCAGACTAAAGCACGTGTAAGTTGAGTATATTTGGCAACGAGTACCTACGATATGCCGCCTATGTAACCTGTCGGAAAGCCGGTAAATACCTATAGCTATATGCTGCAAGTATGGCCGCCGACCACGTATCGTAACGGCGTAATAATAATTTAATGGTGGTCGTATGTTGAGCATAAATACCATAAAGTACTGTTGACGAAGAAAAAAAAAATAACACAGACTGTAAAAATAACCGAAAACCGTTGCCAAACTCTGTTCGGGGACTCTGGAATGACGCGCGTTGTTTTTTCTGGGGATATGAAAATCGTTCGCGGAGACGAATAATTTTTGACATGGTAAAAAATACAGTCACACGAAAATATTCCGAGTATTATACGCGTTTATTATAATTTTTAATAGCAACAATAATAGCAGCGAAATATGCGATATTTTGTTCATAAATTTTGGTACGCGAACATAACCTCGAAACCGTCAACGGTTTATAAATATGTATGCGCACACATTACACCGCTGTTCCAAAGCTATATATTATCGTCTATAAATGGATTACACACGTACAGGCAAATACAAGTACCTAGTCAAAATTTTGTTTTTTAAATAAGTAGGACAAGACAATCGATAGGTTTTTAGTTTGATAGCGTATGCGTATAAATTCTACGCCTGTGCGTATATGTATATATAATACATAATAATATTATACATATTTACACTATGCGAGTGTATAGGGCGATGGACAGCAACGGCGCGTAATATTATTGTAATTTGCTGTAGTGGCATCCGATTCCATTTTGTTTTAACTTAAAATTTATTAATAGCGAAGGCCAAGGAGACAAACGTAGTCGTACGTCCCAGACATACATGTGCTAAACACTCTTCTTCGATCAAAATGCTTATATTTCGTGGTTTATAAAGAGGTACGCAATTAACTATACATATACGACCATTTATAATGTTGCACGTACGGGAGGTTGACCAATCCACCCCCGTATTAGTGTGATTCTCCAAAATATAATATTCCAATTCGATTGTATAAATAATATGATTGTAATCAATGTAATTTTGAAAATCAGAAAATAAAAAAAAAAACAAAATTTGTAATGTAAAATGTAAGTACGTATATTACAATACGTGCGCTGTCCGCCATTGATCGAGATTTGAAATTGTGTGATATTTTTTACATTTAATAAGATGACGATAAAAAAAACTGAATTTTCTTAAAATATTATAATAATTTTATTATGGACGTGTCTCGGGCAAATATCAATACATTTCACTAGTGCAAACATCGCAGATTCTATTTTATTTTCACTAATAATCCTTTTCACTCGTATCTATATAATTTAAATGCATAATTAATTAATAAACATACGATAAGAATATTGTGTAATATTTATGATTGCTATGAATAAAAAAAAAATCTTCAAACGTTCTGTATAGTGTGCACGCGTTGGCTACGCAGACGAACGCTCAGTTTAAATATAGACATATTTTTTAGCTGTATGGAAATAAATTATAAGATAGGTGTCAGTTGTCACATGGTGCAGGCTGATGTTTCTTATACGGCACGTTTCTTGAAATAAACTAGGTCCTGAATAAATTGGACATCGCTCAAGTGACTCAGGTGAACCGTTCTAGAAGTCGCATCTATTGGATAGACTGACGCGAACGCCGGAAATTTAATAGAACGATGAAGCGTCTAGTTTTTAGAAAATAACATATTATATGCGGACGAAAATATACCTAACCTAACATATGAAAGGAAAAGCGTGTCCTAAAGGACATATTTGATGTGCGTATAGAAAAAATTGGTCGTTTGAATAGACAGCGTTGCTGGATTAACAAATTTGTAAAAGTGTTTTGATATAGTGTATAGGATTGGTATATTAATTGTTCAGTTTATTATCAAAGACACTATAATTTTCATAACTGTTCATTATTGCACGATTATTAAAATAGATAAAATAAAAATCTATACCTATGCTGTTATCAGTCAGAATTTTAGAAACTTATAACGTACAATAATAATATTTCTTTGGTAAATAATTTTCAATTACATACTACATAAGTACACAACAACACAACATTCAGACTTGTGAGATATATAACGAGTAACATTATAACACTTATATTAAACACAATTATTATCAATCATCAAAATATATGAATGATATTATTAGTCAATGATAGCCGTTAGGAATAGTTACTTAATTCTTCAAGTTTTTTTTTTTACTTCGATATTGACCTTTGACTACATTTGATTTCATGATATTATATAATATTGTAACAAATTATGTTTTTATAATAAATTCGAGTGTTGTATATTAATAGTTAGTTTAGTAATTGGTAATTACAAATATAAATATCTGTATCACAGTAAAAGGTTTTTTAACATTCAAGTAACCGAGTATCTATAAGTAGGTATTTTGCAAAAATCGAATAAATAAAGCATGCGACAGAACGTTTAAAAAGTTTAAGATGTTTACTTGACAGAAATGATGCGCGTAATTACGAAAATGATTAAAATCAAATGAAGTAATATTAAAAACTCTTTTTAATAATTAACTGTGTTTGTAATAATTGCATTCATTTAAATTAATATATTATGATAAATTGTAATTAATATAACTATAATATCGCAAGTTTTTGATATAATGCGTTTTAAAATTAATGTTTTTTTGTAACCACATTCTATAATTAATTATCAGTTTAATAGCTATCGTTATTATATTATCATAAATAATATAATATGTAGCACTTGTCATTTCATAATGAATATGAGATTTGAAATGTAACAAGTAAATAACTAAAAAATACGCACGCGTGCTGGATGTTTCATAATTCAGTGCAAGGTTTACCAATATTAACCATTTCGGGCTGTGGGTTATGTTAGTTCTTACACACTTAATGGTATTTAATAAAATATGGCTTGTTCACAATAATAGTGTTGGTACTTTGTGTTGTGACTACCGTTTCTCTTAAGTCGTACAACATAATATGTACCACAAGGAATACAAATGAAGAATAATATTATTTATTCTATGAGCTTTAAGGGGGCTGACGGGTGTAGGCTGTGGATGCGAACGTAGGTACATTCATAATAATAATAATAATATATATAGCCGGGAATGAAGTATGATACGTTGAGTGACTGCGACAAGACAAGAGGAAAACAAAACAGTTAGGAGCCGGGCT